CCCAGAGCCGGCTTCGATGGCAAAAGTTTCTCACCTTCGCCACGGCCGCCACCTTCTGGTGTGCACACGTTCTCGACAAGAATATGTTAAAGAAAAGTCACGGTTCGTATATCCACGTGTTCGCACTACGAAGGCGCTGACGTGCCATCCTCACGCGCGTTGTTTCTCTCGACTCTCCTCCACGTACCGCGCACCCCCAGCATAATGACAGAACGAGGCCGACCCCGCGGAGACAGCGATACACTACGATCCTGAGCTGCGGCACAAACTGGTCATCCTCAACACCGACCATACCATCGTCGCACAAGTCCTTCTCTCCCACCTCGTCGAAAAGCGCGCCTGCCTCCGCTGCTGCTAACGAATGCGACGGCGACGGCGACGGCGACGAGGCTACGGGTGCCGCCAATGCCGTTCCTGCGGACACTACTACCGCCACCGCTGCTTCTGCTACGCCTTCGCAGGAACTGCTGCCATACCAGCCACTTCGTCTGGACCGAAAGTTGGCGACAGCCCCACGTCGGGTGTGTCTGTTGCAGATTTCATTATGAGAAAGGCACGTGAAGTTCGCGACCTTGGCAGCACCGTCAACGAGGACGGCAAGAAGACCGGCGGCGGTTTGTTGTCGCCGATATCGTCGCGAGTGTTGCCACGCTGGTCATGACGACGGTGCTGTTGGCGTGTTCTCTTACTTGTGTTTAAGGAGTTCGGAACGGGAATTGGCAAGGCACCCCCTTGGCCAATTCCCGTTCCGCGCTCGTGGACTGTCATGAAGAAGACTTACGTCAAAACCAGCGCGACAACAACCGCAAAGGTATTGGCGACAACGACAAGAATGACAACAGCAACGACAACCATGCCGATGGAGGTTGCAAACATGACGGAGACGTCAACGGGCGTGGCGTATCTCGCTGCCTGCGCTAGGCTCACTAGTTTCCCGAACAGGACGTCTCTGACCCTCAAGACTTTTTCGTTGTGGAAATACTGGTCGGGCAGGGAGTACTGCACCCTTTGCGGCACTCCCCACCTGACCAGCACTTCCACAACGAAAAAGTCTTCAGGGTAGTAGACGTCCTATTCGGGAAGCTCATGAGCCTAGCGCAGGCAGCGAGATGCACCACGTCCGCCGACGGCTCCGTCATTTTCGCAACCTCCATCAGCACGTCGCCCCGGGATAAAGTAGGGCAGGCGACCGGTCCTATCCCGAAGGAGCGGAGGACCCTCCTCGCTGTCAACGAGCGGCTGACGGGGAAGGTCCAGGTGATGCGTTCAGAAATTTTCGCTGAGAGTGAGGAGAAGAAGGCTTTGTGCGAGGGCCGCGGACTTCACAAGTCCAAGGTGGCCACCGTCGTGGGCCTGTTGCCGTCTGGCAAGCACAGCTTCCTCCACGGGCGAGCGCGAGAGCACCCGGAGGCCCACCTGGGGTAGGCTACGTTGAATCTCACCACCAAGGGCAACGTGGTAGGGTTGGAGGGCAGCAAGGGTCTCAGCCGTGTGTCAGGGGTAGTTAAGGGTAGGATGTTTTGTTTTTTGGGATTGTTCCTCGTGGCTATGATTTGGTCCGTAAGGGCGGAATTCGTGTAGCTCTTTCATCTCGATGTATCCTACAACACTCTCCCGCGCCTGGCAGCTAGCGTGTAACCCCTCCCTTCGTCGGTGCCCTCCTCCCCCGTTCTTTCAACAATTGTTCGGTGATAGAAGCCAGGTGCAGTGGACGAAGAAACCATACGCACGCAACATGCTCCCGCCTGTCGATCGTCTTCGTGTGCAACGCCCCCTACCAGGTCTTGAAAACCAGAGAAAGATTGCCCCTTCTGCGGAGCACGACGGTGCCGTCGACCGGCCTCCTGTGAGTTGGATATGATAGGGGAGAAAGTCGTTTGCCTCCCACAAAAAAAACTAACTTCTGAACACAATTATTTGTTCCTTAGAGCGAACCCACCTTGCACTTCCGATGAATGCTGTTTGCCAAACTGCAAATACGTGCCGTAACATTCAACAGAAATGAGGCGCTTGGTAACCCACGGCTCCTCTTCGGGATGAAACACAATGATTCGGTGATTGGGGCCGCTTGCTAGAAGATGCCCTCAGCGTTGATACCCTATACAACTTTCCCTCTTCGGGGTTTTTGACCCTCTCCTCGTTCACTCGCAGTTCGTAGGAAGGATCGGCTCCCCTAAGCCAAAGAAAGATGGCCCCTTTTTGCGGAGGATGATCATGTCGTTGCCCGACACCTCCTGTGCTCAGCTAAAAGGGCCCATGTTTCTTTGGCTTAAGGAAGAGTCGATCCTTCGTACGAACTCCGGGCGAACGAGGAGGGAGGCGGAACCTCCCGAAGAGGGGAACTTGTCTGGAGTATCAAATCTGAAGACATGTTCTAGCAAGTAGGCCCAGGCAGGCCCAACCACCTTGAAATTCCGGACAACTTTCCTTCTTCGACAGATGGCGACCCCCTCCTTGTTCACTCGCAGTTCGTAGGAAGGATCGACTCCCCTAAGCCAAAGAAAGATGGTCCCTGTTTGCGGAGGATGATCATGTCGATGCCCGACACCCCCTATGCTCAGCTAAAAGGGCCCATGTTTCTTTGGCTTTAGGAAGAGTCGATCGTTCGTACCAACTCCGGGTGAACGAGGAGGGGGTCGAAATGTCGAAGAGGGAAAAATGTCTGGAGTATCAAATCTGAAGACATGTTCTAGCAAGTGGGCCCAAGCACCTTGAAATTCCGGACAACTTTCCTTCTTCGACAGATGGCGACCCCCTCCTTGTTCACTCGGAGTTCCTAGGAAGGATCGACTCTCCTAAAGCCAAGGAAATATGGCCCCTTTTTGCGGAGCACGATCGATCGTGCCGTCGACCGACACCCCCTGTGCTCAGCGGAAAGGGTCCATGTTTCTTTGGCGTTAGGAGAGCCGATCGTTCGTACGAACTCCGGGTGAACGAGGAGGGGCTCGGAACCTCCCGAAGAGGGGAACTTGTCGGGCCTTTCGAACGAGGAGGGGGTCGAAATCTCGAAGAGGGAAAGTTGTCTGGAATTTTAAGGACATCTTCTAGCAAGTGGCCCCAGGTACCGAACCATTTTTTTTTTTATCCCGAAGGGAGCCGTCTGGTACGAAGCTTTCAGTTTACGTGAACGTTGAGCCACGCAATTGCAGTCTTGCAAACAGCGTTCACTCTTCGGAAGGGCAAGGTGGGTCAGCACTGTGGACCAAAGAAGTTGTTAAGAAGTTTTCGTTGCGAGAGCCAAGCGAGATTCTTCAGCAATGCCCTCTATCCAACACGCAGGCTATTGTACTCGTGTGATGCCAGCCCTGTCTCGCTGCATTTGGTTCGTTTCAGCTGTTATTTTTCTTGGTTCTTGGGACTGTTGCTGCTTCATGATCGCATCTTGTCGCTGCAGACCAACGCGATTTCCGAATTATGCCACCGACTAGTGAAAGTGTTGGAGGCCATATCATCGTCATGATGAAAAAGTGGGTTGCTTTGCGGTCTTTCTTATAGTCTAGGTGAGTAAAATATATAAACGGGAATCCGTATGCACATATCTGAGCTCGCTCACGACTTGGCGAGATCGGATTCAGAGACGTTTGGTCCCAGTGTTATTTTCGATTTTCGGGAACATTCTTTCTCGCCAACCGCAAAAAAGGGTTCGTTCGTAGGGCCGGTCGGCTTTCCTCTTGTCAAGCGTAATCGGATGTACGTCATTACTTTGTACACGGTATTATTTGATTCAACGTATCGAAGGTTTGCCCATCAGCGCATCGTCAAGTCTGCAATAGCTCGCCGCTCATCAAGTGGACATTCCGAAATTATTCCGACGACTCCTTGTAAATCTCCGTGTCCAACTCGCTTGAGTAGTAGTAGTTCTCGGGTTCCCGTTTCGATTATTCTGTCCTGATCGTGGAGTAACCACTCGTTGGCAGTCAGTCATTGTAGATGGTCCAACTGTATGTTCATCACATACACGTAGTTGTCTGTCTTGTGGTTTAGAGGAAGGGCTAGTCTCATTTGAGCCAATTCCGGAAGAACCCGCAGCTAACTTAAAACACGTGTAACTGCATGCACTGCGTTCAAGAAACGTTTCACCGTATTTCTGGGAAAAAATTATCCTCACAATAGTTGGCTTGTGACCAAGGAAGACGTCCGCGCCACTTGGACCAGTGCGGATATTCGAAGGTACTGAGCGGAGGCCGGAACGTTTTTTCAATGTTAGAGGACAAAAACCACAACAACGAAAGCAATACATGGTGGCAGTTCCACCATTAGTCAAGCGCTGAAATCATCCGAAAGTTGTTTCTTTGTTTGGTCTTGGAGCACTCTTGTTATCTTGCCAACCAGTGTCATCCGACGTGTAGAGGTGGTATTGTATACATACGTCGGTACAGCTCCGTGCACATCACACAAGGGTCACTCAGTAGACAAGTGAACCCGATTTTATTCCATCCCATTTGCTCATCACGTTGTGTTGAATTGGTCAAGCACCCTCGAGGCAGTTACACAGCGCTTATAACTGTCTCTGGATTTGAACGCTCCAGAAAACATATTAAGTCATACGCAGCTGTCATCCGTGCGCAAGGAAGTAAGGACAAGATGCCGAACACTCTTAGTAAGATGCAGCGCACCCTTCATGCGACTCGCCGAATGCCTCACGGCGCTTCGCGCTTGGTGATGTGAGAGCCTGGTCCGGTGAGAACCCGGCGTGCTCCGTCCCGGCTTTGTATTGTAGGGATGCGAGGTAAATGGTCTAACGACTACAGCATGCACGACTATGAGTACCCCCTCCATTGGCAAATGTGTTGCTAAAGTTGCGGGCGCTCTGCCGAAACCCAAGTCTGGAATTTGGTGGTATCCATGTCGGAATGCGATTTGTCACGTGCTCTGTGTAGCTTATATGTGGAGTGTTTCTACGACTTAAAGGGGTGCTTGCCACCAAGGCATAAAGAATCGTTAACAGCAGTTTTCTTCAACACCTTTCGCGTCCCGATTTGATCGTATTCTCATACCTAACCCAAACAGAAACACTGCCGATTGATGTGAGACCAGTCTACTGGCAGTCGCCTAATCAAGTATCGATCGTGAGATGCGATGCGACCTTGTAGTCCTGATCGTCGATACGAGATTGCGTTGATATGAGGTTGGCGGAGAACCACAAAAAAAAGCAAGAAAAATATTCACGGTTGCACAGCAGCAGCATCACTCGGGTGTTGCCGTCTACTACTGTTGCTGGGCTGGTACCTCTCTTGTCTACACGCACGAAAGATTGCACCGACCGAATAATACTCGGTCAAGTCCGGCCAGAGACAAACTGTCGATGTAGTACCTACCTCGCTGAATTTACAATAAAATCAAAAGTCGGTCGTTACTGCGGCGATACGCTCTGTCCTGTCCCTCTTCTTGACGCGGATACCCTTGTAGAGGCCCGTGAGGAAGGTGTCCTCGAACTGCTGCACGTATTTCTTCATCTCCGTCTTGTTGATGGACGAGACGCTCTTTGTCTGGGCGACACGTGTGCGAGGACGTGAAACGGCGCGGCGTTACAAGAGCAAAACTCGAGTACCAGAAAAAAATGAACAGAACAAACGAAAAGCAGCTGCACACCGTTGCTGCAGTGAGATCCCCGGGTCGGTAGAGAAGGCAACACCGTACTGTAGGTGGATACTGCGAGGTGCACGAAAGGGCAAATACAAAACAAGCACCACAACCACAGCCTCAACCGCACCAGAAAAGCAACAGAAGGTCTCCCGTTTTTCTGAGTAGCACATGACAAGCGGTAGTCCCAACACTGAATATTCGAAGAAATAGAAACAGGTGAGAGAGGAGCAATACACAAAGCCAACAAAAAAAAGCACCTTGTAACCGCTGAGAATTAACTGGAGTGTTCATCACGACAGTGACGACAAAAAATGAGTCATGAGGCCCGAACGCTACTGCTTAAATCAACCAAAAAGAAAAACCGAAAGCTAAAAATACAACCACGACCGTCAATGTGAAAGCTTGCCCTCCCTTGTCCCCGTTGGGACGTTCTTGTTCCCACGAGAAAAACACTTGTGTACGCATTTCTACGAGGGCAGCGAACTGGCAAGCACCGTACTTTCAATTTCTAACGAAAACACGACATATCAAATACAAAGTTGTTTCGATACAGACAGAAAAATACATTTTTATTGGGATTGTGGAGGACTAGGCATGATCACCGCGTTGTTGAAAAAAAGCCGAAAAAATAAAAAACTAAGACAGAAGAAACCTCCGACGCTATACTCAAGAGGTCAGCATAACCTCCCAGTGATCTCGCTACCGTAGTCTCCGCCTCACCTCTTCCCCGTGCTCCTTGTCGTACTTGTCGATCTGGCGTTGGAGCTGGCCCAAAGTGGGCACCGTAAAGGGGTCAAACTCGCGCACGTGGGCCGGGTCGATCGGAACGCACACGCGGCCAGTCTTGGGGTGCACCGCTGACCGATGACGTAAAAAGACAGAAATAGCAACGCATCCGATGTGACGTAAGCGCGTGTAAGTGAGGAGCTTGGTCGAGCGTGCGACGGTCACTCCCGGCCAGGAAAGAGAGATGTTAGGGGATGCACGCTTGCTGTAAGTTTGGAAGGCATCGAGGTTTCGTACTGCCTTATTCACGTAGGGGAGGGGAGCAAAGTGGTGAGCGCCACGCGGGGCGACGGTCTCGCAGACAAGCGAGGAATGAGGCACGTTGGAATGGAAAGAGTGTTAACGGTTTGAGGCAGTGTAAGGTTGGCCCCCTCCGGGCAAGGGTTAGGGTTTTAGGGTTAGGAGCCGCCGCAGCCAAGGGCTGACATCGCGCAAGAGGATGGGTGGCAAAGACGAAGGCCAGGGTGAGAGCTCGCAAAGTGGGAACAAATAAAAAATATATACCACGATAATCCTACCATAACGGGTACAACACCCCGAACCGCCGGTAGCCGAAACAGGGGCTGAGCGAAAAACTGAAATCACAACGTGTCCTGCACCAAGAAACGCCGCTGTGTGTTAATCGAGAACCCCAACACGGCGACATCCACACGGCTTGCGTCAAGAAAGAAAAGTTCTTGGAACAAAAGTTACCGTCGAGACTGAACGTTAAATGTTGCGTCTCACCGAAGGGGCTTTTAAGGAGATGGTTCCGGCCCTTGGACACGTTGACGTCGAGTCGAGGGTACGTGTGCTCGAACACCACCTCGTACCGCCACTGCTCCGGCGTGGGAGGTCTGTCCGCCGGCTTCATCTTCTTCGCCAACTGCGCATGAACACCCGCACCGGCACAAGAACGTCGTCGTGTTGTACAGGGCCGGTCTCATTGTCGCCGCGGACGAAGTGAGAGGTAGATGGACATCACCGAACACAGCGACACAGCAGTAGCTGGTGGTGCGTAACGGTAGCACTGATGCCAAAGACGAGTCGGTTTAGGACTGCAGCACACGGCCTGTGCCGCCCCCCTTTTGAGACACATCGACTTGATGCCCTACCGGCGACAAAATAATAACACCTTCCCATCGCTTCGTCCGGGCCCCCCCCCCTCCCTCCCAACTCACGGCTTTTCGGTACATGAAGAAGAAAATCACGACCACAGTCACCGCCCTTACCGAAACGGCTGCCCAAGATTGGGGGATCCTGCTTGTCCCTGTCACCATTACCACACTACAGGCGGGATCGAAAACAAAATCCTTCGTCGCTCCTACCAACTTCCAGAAAGCGACAGTGCTAGTCATACAGCAGCGATCATGTGGATACCTGCTGCTGCTTCCTGCCCTTCTTCTCCATCTCTTCCACTAGCTCCTCCCACTTATCCGCCGGGGAGGACCCTCCCATCTACAAGAGGGATACGGGAACAAGGAAGCAAAACCAGCAAAATCAGTGCACCCCGAACAGGGGATTGGTGGCGGTAAGCGGGAAAGGAGAAGACGGCAAACCAGCAAAATCAGTTCAGAACGACAAACCAGCAAAAACCGGTGTTTCAAGCACAAGACCAAGTAGTGGTGACGATAGTGACGAGAAATGCGGCCGGCAAGCAGGAACGGTCTCGTTGGCATCAGGGCGTCGCCACAGACACCGAGGGCGCATAGGACCAGCGAAAGAAATCGTCGCGATGTCGGGGAACATCAGAAGAGGCAGCACCGGTTGCGACTGCACAAAAAAAAAGAAAAGTGCAGCAGGGTTTGGTTGCCAACGACAGCACGATGGTCGCAAACCAGACGAACGAAGTCGTGGCACAGAAACGCCGGAGTGGATGAGGCCTGCCGAGCAAACTGACCTTCCACCTGCCCTCCAGAGTCTGCCTGACATCCTCAGGCACGGTCGCCAGCAGCTTCCCCCAATGTGATGGGTCCGACAGCAGCCCTTGCCCCTGGGAAAACAACCGAAGGCCCGCAACAAGAGTTTACGACGGGGCTACGACAGAGATAGGCATCTGCGCTAACCGGGCTATACAGGGGTATCATTTGTCGTCCCACGGTAGTGACGGTAGTGGAAAGTCTATGATGGAGAAAAATAAGATCAAAAACACTGCAGAATAGAATCGGATAAGGGTAAGACGGAGGTGGGTGCACGCCCGGCCACAACTGATGTCTAGACAGGAACAACTAAACTAAAATAAAAAAGATTCGGGAATCGAACGTAATAGAAAAAAAGCAATATAACCTTCTGTGCGGCAATGGGGTCGAGAGGACGACGGGCACAGCCGACTTAGAGCGAGTTTGACGTCGAACAACATCACCCCCAGCAGACCAGGTGTCCGCATGCATTTACCCTGCATCCCCCACGACATAGAAAGACAGGGCACCCCTACACACACGGCATGCTTGTCGTGTGTCCACACGCAGTCGCGTTTTTTTCGGGCATCCCTAGATTTCGGGGTGGCTTTGGAAAGTACTCCGTCAACTCCCCCTGCTCGATGTTTGCTCGCCGATTTAGGCTTGGACATGACAGGTACCGCCGACCACAATCCGTACGCTATTTACTCCAGCAAAGCGGTACAGAAAATGTCCGCGTGCATGTGATAACTCCAGGGCAACTGCTGCACAATCACCGACAGTGTTGAACGCCCTTTCCTGAAAAAACACACACCCGAGAAACGTCCAGAAAAACTTGAAACACCGGCAAGAGTGAGTGAGCGTGTGCCACAATGCCCTGTACAGCAGTAATTACAGTGACCAACCTCCTCTGTGATGATGTGCTCCAGGAACAGGGGCTCCAATGTTTCGTACGCTCGCCGCAGCGAAGGGTGTATCGGCAACGAGACGTTCACCTGATGGCATGCACCGGAAGAACAGACGGGTGGGGGGGAAGACAGGCAGTAGCAGCAGCAGCAGCAGCAGCGAACGCGAGACAGCCTTCAGGTTGCTTGTTTCCAGGCGAGAAACAGGTCCAACTTGTCGACGTCAAATAGTTGTTATCCAAAGCAATGTCTCACGATAACCTCCAATCGTAGCCAAAACCTGATCCCTTTGCCTAAGGCTTGCCACGCAATGTTGACGTGCCTTTGGCACGGTCGTGCTACAGTAGTGTCGTGTGTTAGTCGTCAGGTAGGTGACACCGCTACGATGACCTGTTTATGGACGTGGAGGATCGGTACCGGCGCCATCGTCAGCCCTTCCCGAACAGCATTGAAGCCAAGGCCCTCACTCTTTCCCTACCTCTCTCTCTCTCTCTCTCTCTCTCTCTCTCTCTCTCTCTCTCTCTCTCTCTCTCTCTCTCTCTCCTTCTCCCCCAGCCCAGCTATCGACCAACCTTTCTATCTCGGATGCCTACCTCTCCACCTCTCTATATCTCGGCCTTGTCTCACCTTCTTGGACTGGTTGTCGTTACCCGCGACGACGCCAAAGTAGTCCGCCACGGCACCGCGGCCCTCGTTGGTCAACGCTCTCGCCGCATCGTCCGCCACCCAGCAGTGGACCCCTCGCCTGCCAGAGTACACCCAAAGGATGTGCTTGAAACCGAAGTCTTGCCGCAGCCCGACATCCATCACCTCCACCTGCCGCAGGGTCGCGTTCCACAACAACAAAATAAAATCGGTTGGTACCGGGTTTTTCCTACGAGGTGGACAGATTCCACAACCGCCTTGGTGTAAAATTGGCGCGCATGGTGTTGTCCCCTACTCGTCCAAGGTCAGGGTTAGGTGTCGGACGTGTGTGTGCACCTATTCGCCACTAAGGAATGTGAGAGAGGCTGACGTGACACGCCCGTTGGCATGTGTTGAACATGTTGGACATGTTGGATATGAGGATCTTTTCTTGGCCCGACTTAGCGATTGGTTATGTTCCTCCGCATACCACTACTCGCCTAGGCCAGCCTTTGGCTAGGTGGAGTACGGGGCCGGCGTCTCGTCTACTCTCTTGTCTGCAGACGCTTTCGCAAGCCACCTGTCGTACGGTGCGACGGGCACCTCATCCGAAGACACGCTTGACATGCGTTGATCGTAGTTGTGACATGGCTTTCTCTTGTAGCACCTAATACAAAATGCTCAATACAGCAGAGCTGTACACGTTCGCGATACTGGATAAATTTGCTTCGTGGATGCAACAAAACAAAACTGAACACTCCACTAGACCAGTGTCAATACGTCGAACACAGATTTGCACCAACAGAGACCTGGCTCCTTGTCTACACCTATCACGTTGGTATAGGGTACAGGTAAGAGACAACGGGGTAATCTACAGGTCAACCACCGAACGGTAATTCTATAGGTCATTGAAAAAACGTCTTCACAGGGAAGACTTACCGCCATGGTCATGTACGACCAGCATCTGTTGCAGATCTTCGCGCCTGAGCAGCACGTCCGCACGTCGTCGTAGTCGGTCAAGTCGATATCGAACACCAGCTCACGCTCTACCGGTTGGAACGCGCCTGGCTTGACCGCGAGATGGTTCTGGAGAGGGCGGGGCAAAATCCAGCGGTAGACATATCGACAAGACCATTAGGACACCGCGGAGATGAATCTTAGTCGGCATGTGTCGAGCAAACCATTGCGGCGGAGGGAGGGCCATGAAACCCACTTGCTGACAACACTTGTCCCAACTGTTTGATGGCCGCGACACCGTATGGAAGTGGTTTCTGGAATAGGCCGCATAGTAGTGCAAGGTTTGGCCGGCCTTACACCGAACACCCGGCGGCACTATTCAGATCAGACAAGTTGATTATTCTGTCTGTGTGACGCGAATTCCTGGCTTCGTTCAGGGGGGCCCTTGTTATTGCTGTCTTTTTCAGGGACCACAATACTGCTGTACGTCCGAGAGAGATGTTTGGGGATGACAAAGGCAGAGACTCTACCCAATAAGCAGAATCACAATGGGGCGTCACGTTTTCCATCGAGTCACAACTGCGGCAATATCGACACATCGTGGGCGCAGCGGAGCACGCTGTCGATTTCCTTTTTACGTCGCTGAACAAGGATGTTGCTTGTAAGCCGAACAGCCCCGTCCCACAACACGTACACGACACGACATAGAACGCCAAACAAGCAAAAGGTAGGCATCATACGAAGGCGTGCGGCGGCAAGCACGAGCGCACGCAGCAGTCAGGCCTTGCACGGCGGGCACTCCCCACACCTTGGGGGGGAGAGTGAAGATCGCCCCGATGTCGATCTTGTGGGGCTGCTTCCGCTGCACCTGCTGCTCAAACTCCTTCTGGTCCGCGAAGCACTGGTACCTGCGTCGCACACGCGAGGACGCACCGTAAAAGCGCCAAGTGAGACGGTGACCGGCACAACATCAGGGAACGAGCGAACCTGATGGCAAACGGAATCTCTGTAAACAGTAGACCAGGCGCTAGTGCCTACGGTACAAACACAACCACCAGAGTTCTATACTTATGTGAAGATGTAACACAGGGATAGATGACAATAAGTCAAAATGATCCATGTTGGCAAAATGATCATGTTGGGCTTACCGGATGTAGACATCGTCCTCGATGGTGAAGGAAAACTCTCGTTTCGAGAAGAAATCCGCCTGCTCGTCGACGGGCTGCGGCTTTCCCGACGAGTCGGGTAGCGACGCCGGCATGTTGGAGTACCCGAGCCATCGGTACATCTGCGTGTTGTCGATGTATCACCGCGTTTGATACCAAGCATCATGCGAATTGTGTCAACGAATTACAGCAGTGCGCCGTAGACGGCACAAGATGACACACCCCCTGGACCGAAAACGTATCGTTGCGGGGATTAGAACATTTCACCGACACAAATCAAGCTGTTGTATGATACCGTATGCTTACAACGTCGGCCTTTCTAAGGGTGCCACTGCAATGGTAGGACATCAAGGGTGTGCCACTGCTTGTAGGTGATATAAGATACCATACCCCCTCGAGCGAAAATTTATCGTTGCGGGGGGTAGCACATGGCACCAACACAAATCAAGCTGTGGTATCGTACAACATCGGCCTGCCTACGCGTGCCACTTCTATCTCCGACATCAAGGGTTTACACCACTGCTACACGAGAGGTACTGGTGTACGTCTGTATAGCATGTTGCTGTACATGGGTCATGTGCATCGACGCCGGGTGCCGTAGTCTACATAATTTACTTCATGCCGAAAGGCCAGCGGGGAGCCCGTACAACAATTTTTCTTTTGCAACAACACGTGCGTGAGGTCTAAGTATCTACTTGCTTGAAGTATGGCAGAGTACATCGCCTGTCCGATCTCACACGGCTGCGCAAAAATGTGTCCGAACGTAACCGTTTGCGCGCTCGAATTCAAAATCTCACAATCGCTGGGATTTCAAAAAGCTTTCAAAATATATTTGCGCGGTTTTGCAACCGAGAAACGCTGCGAAGAGAGACAGATACCAGCAGCAGCTGGGAAGAGGAGAGTCACCAAGGCGACCATCCAATCACACATGCCCACACACCTGTTCGTAGGGGAAGAGGCGGGCGTAGTAGATGCGCAGCAGGTCGGGGCTGAAGGCCTCGCGGTCATCGTCGGCGGAGACCCCCTTGCTGCGCACCGGTGCCTTGCTTTCGACGCCCGAGGCGCCTGCTACCATCTCCTGGTCTCCTTTGTCAACCTCCATCGCAGCTGTTGGCATTGTCGTCACAGAGCCCCTTGGTCGTGATGCCTCCTAGTACAGCAATGCCTGCACTAGGGGAGGGGAGGGCGATAGACTGCTGCTGCAGGATGCACAGAAAAAATTCAAATTTCCACTGTGTTGCAAGGCGTGTTGAACGAGCTACGACTCTGGCGGCGAAGCTCCGAGAGTGGTCACGGCTCGAGGTATCCTTGACACAGCAACCACTAGCCCTTTCAAACAGCTGTATGGCCTCCCGCCCTGCTCGTGCTCCTCAAATTGCCCTCCTGTATCTGCTCCCTATCTCCCTATCCTACCCTCAGAAAGAGGCACAGCAGCTGTACCATGTCTACGATCATGGTACCTTACATCACAATCTTTTCAGTCCGCGGAGCTCCGACCCTCTCTTTGCTGGACTGTGCGTTTGTTTTTGAATCATGCCCACGGTGCGTCATAGTTGCATTGCATTCCTCAGGCTCGGTGGCTAAGCCGCTTGTGGCATAGAGAAAAGTAGAGGAATGCTGACGATCGTGAGAGGTGCCGAAGATGTGGCGAGAGCCCGACGAGCAAATCGAAAGAATCGCAACAACAGAGCAAACTCGGCAACAGCAGCAGCAACAGCAGCAGCAGCAGAGCATCACAACGTCGGGCGTCTACCCGGCCAAGTTGGAGTCGCTGTTAGGAGAGGCGACAACAAGCGTCCGCGCCGAACGTTCGACGACGTATCTGGTGAGCGAAGTAGAACGCCATGTCATTCCACTACCTCTCTCTGTGTCGCCGACGAGCCTTGCTGATGTGCGGCAGATTTTTGAACTTTTCACGTTTTTTTAAAAATCAAACGGCCAGCATGCCAGCATGCACGAAGAAGGCGTGTGGATATGTATGTAATGCATGCGGTGGGACACGAGCTGGCGAAGCAGTGCTGTATATCCTGTACTCACTGCTGTCTATACTTGGATTGCTGTCACAGTGCGCGAGGCACAGGATGCGTTCTATTTTTACATTTTTACGGCACCGGTGTATCTCTTCCTAGAGACGTTGTGCTGCTGTTGTACTGCTCCGGCGGAACTTGTTTTCATCGTTGTCAGCAATAGTCAGCCTTGCCTCATGGAGCAAGCGCCATGTCATGTGTACACCGTCGTACATGTAGACAAATGGCAGCCGCAGCTAATAACCGAACAACCCCGTAACTCTCAAGCAGGACATACACCAGCAATTTAGCCCATTTTCCTCTAGAAAAGTTCTTGCGTGTTCCGTCGTTAGCTGCTGTCCCACTGTTTCTCAATGGAGAATATTGCTGGATTTCGGGAGTCTTGCCGGGCCATGGTGGCCGGCCATCGCTGATCTCCCGGTATCATGGGGTTCGGGACGCTTCAAAGTATTGGTTATTCCTTACGCTTTGTATGTGTCCGCTTGAATCCTGCTCATCCAATATGCCTGCTATGTACCCACCATGTATTTAGAAGCCTTCCAGCTGAGTGGTGCCGCAATGGTACACCCTCGCTCTTTATTGAACACACATCTGCATAACTTGCCACCATCACACCGAACCAACCCAACATATTTTCAAATAACCTCTGACATTCAGCTGCTCGCATATTTTTCTAATTGCCCGAGTGCGGAGCCCTATCATACAACTTGAGTGTCGTAACTATTGCTTCTGTTTTTTCTCCTTATTTCTCTCGTCCGATGCCGCCGATCCTCTTACACCAAAATGCCCAAGGCGACTACGAGTACAACCCCCTCGATGTTCACGACGGACCGGGACCAACCAGCGCCGAACCCGCGGCGGGGGGGGGCAACAACGAGCCTGCCACCGTAGATCTCACGTCGGAAAGACCTGAGCCCGTCGGTGGAGACACGATGTCGAATACCTTCGCGGCGTTCGCCAACCCTGGTCCGCTTCGCCGGTCAAATGCCGCCGATCAAGTTTGCGCGCAGCAGTTGTTGGGTTCGTGGCTCCAGCCGGTAGCTTCCCCGAAGAAAGCGGCCAAGAGGCGGAGGCAGCGGCCGTCGCAAGGCGCCTTCGACGAGCCCGACGTGCGGCGCAACAGCGCGACGGCGTGGGGGGGCGCGTCTTCCCCGGGGCGGGACAGTAGAGGCGATGGGTGTGGCACCCGGGGTAACGGCGGTGGCAATGACGGGACGTTGTCTGCGTGGCTCGAGCCCCGTCAGCCGGCCACAAGGGGCAAGCGAACGGCACACGGCACCTCGGTAGCGGAGCGAGAACCCGACGGCGGGTTCTCTGGTGATGAAGGCGGTGGCGAGGATGGGGGTGGCAGGTGGATGTCTGACAGGCTGGAGGGGCTCGATCCCACCGGGGCGGCTAGGTGAGCACGCGGCGCAACCTCTTTCGAACCGAGGTTTGGTGCCAGCTGAGGATTCGTCGGTGTGCTATCTATCTATTGTACGAAGTAGATGTTTGCGCTTTCTCGTGTTTCCCGTTGCCCTACCGAAGCAAGGTCCCATTCTCGGGACACCTTTGCCGCGTGCGTCCTTGTGTCAACGAGGGCATCCTGTGGCTGACGCCCAGCCCGGACAGACAACCATTTTTTCTTGAAGGCCCCCAACAACAGCAAGGCGCGCCTTGAAAGGGCTGTCTATCTGTCCACGTGACTCATGACCACGGGCCTTGAATCGTGTACACCTCTCTCTCCCCACGTGGTCGTCCCGCGTCCGACTGACACCTCCAGAGCAAAGGACAGCTGGTCGGACAGGGAGCGGCGCAACTTGACGTGCACGGACATCGCCTTGGGGGCGAAGCGGAAAGGGAGAGGCAGGGGCGGTGGCCCCAGGCGGTGGAAGACGAAAGCCCGCGGGACCAAGGGTTCGGGGTCGACTGGGTTGGGCAGGGGCAGGTTGGCAGCGAGCGGGCAGGCGGCGTTCAGAATGTGAAAGAGTGGTTGGCGGTTGTGGCAATACACGAACACGAAAAAGTCTTACCCAAGCGGCTATAGGCTGTGTCTAGCGTAGCGCTCCCGACTCACCCTCTGCCTTGTGTGACTTTGACATTTCTGGCATGCTGTTCTTGAGCATGCGAGCAAAGCCTGGCGTGGAGCAGCGTGGCATGCTGTAGAGCATCACGGCGGAGTGACTTGCTTCGGCGTGATTTCGCAACACAGAAGCAAAACTCACTGGCGGCGCCGTGCTGTTTGAGACGTCACGTCCCGCTTGCGTGGCGTCTGGAAAGGTGTGTTGGTGTGGCCACCGCTGTCGTGTGTTAATCGTGTCGCACCGGAGCCGGAGCCGACTTCTTGTTGCGTGTGTCGTTGTCCGCGGTCTCAGGTTGCGTTCGGAACGATGAGGACGGGTTGGTTTTTGGGGGGAGAAACGGAACCATCGTGACCAGCAATGATGTTCGGACCGGGGCCTTGGTGACGAAATTGCTCGAAATTTGTCTAGGGCGGCGTGTTGGTGACCACGAATGAATGCTGAGAGATCTCAAGCCTTTGCACCTTGTTGCCGCATGGTCTTGTACGCTCCCGCGCCATCAAGTCCCGTGCTACTGCGGCGACACACAAGCCATCCCCAAAAATGTTACGACGCACCCCTTTCGCCTTGCTCAAGCCACACCGCAAAAAAACTCTGTCGCCCGTGGACCAGCTAGTCGCCGACGGTTTGCTTCCTTCAAATTACGGCCATTAACGAAGACACTATTTCTACCCCGGGTCCCTTGAAGTTCCGCAAACCGGTTGTGTCTGGGCGGAAGACCCGCGAACGCCAATTGGGAGGGACAGTGCCTGCCACGCTCGCAAACGCCATGGGATGGGCCCATACCGTACACCAGGGACCTGGCTAACCGGCCCTATTTCCGGATCGAAGTGTCGTGCTGCAACACTCCGCCTACATGGTTGGATTACTACTTGTAGCCAAGGAGGCCACAAAGTCCGGCCATTGCCCACGAGATACCTTCCGCCGTTCTCCAAAGCACCACGAGTAACCGCCGAAAATACCTGCTATGTGTAAGCATAGGTTCACGCCAAAGCTGCATGTGCTCGGAACTATCCCCACTCCGTGTGAGCAGCACAATGGGAATACAGGCTGCCCTGCGCTCCAAAGTTACCTCCGTGGACAACAAACCCGAGTTCGATACACTGCCCTCACGAACTGCCAAAGAAAAGGAGCGAGTTGGTGCGCATCTCCTAGTCCCGGAGCACACACTGCGTTACTACATTACAAACGATGGGTGAACCCGGGCTTAACTACACCACTCCCGCCCTCAACTTCATAGTGGATGAACCCGGGCACAACTACACCACTCCGCCCTCAACTTCACAGCATAGACGTACTATTCTCTATTCGTACACAAAATTAATCCAAGACGGATGGATCTCAAAAAATGACAATACGACAAATCTCCCGACAACATGCCACCACGTGCAAAAAAGCACACGCAGGGAAGACAGAAAAATACCACGCACGCGTGCATCTCGGGATCGCGCAGATAGACGTTGCCACGATCGCAACACCGATGTTAAGGCAAGATGCCGTTGGTGCACAGCTGGAACTGGTCGTACAAGCGGGTGCCCACGTGCGCGTTAGCCTTGTTGACCATTCGCCGCGCGCGTCGCGCCACGTCCGAGTCCTTAGCGCCCAACATGAGGCGCTTCTTGAACATGGTCAGGGCGGCGTCTCCCATGTACTCGAAGCAAGGGAACTCCGACTGCGCACGGGGAATACGCCGGGGCGAGAGGGGCTGGAGGGGTAAGCACGCTGCTGCTCTGACGCATGAGCTGCACCTGGTTCGCTGTACAATCTACGAAGTACATACGACGTTGGGAACTCGTGGTTGACTGCCAACCCATCACACAAACAAATAAATTCACCAAGTTTCCCTGGTGCCTTACAGTGGAAGGAAGGAAACTGCCGTCAACTGCGATCGGCCAAGCGCTGCCTGGAACATCATCCAGACAGTCCATGGGTGACTGTTGGTGCTGCCGCAGACAGGGTACATGAACACATGACGGTTTCCTTGACCGATGGTATAGATGACGACATGTGATATCACCAAACCTCCAATCACATATTCCTCTCTGGAGTGGGGGGGGGGGGGTCGGAAATTTTGTAACCTACAAATTCCCTCTCAACGCGACCAATCGAAACACGTTTGTTGTTCACCTGGAACATCATGATCTCCAGCATGGTGATGGTCACCGTCGCGTACTTCCTCGCTGCCGCAAGCCCCTTGCAGAACATCTCGATAAACTCCTCGTACATAGGCGAGTCCTTCCCTCCCAAGACCTCCAAGTACTCCGAAGTGAACTTAAACGCCGCTCGCTCCATGGAAAACTTCCGCCGGAGACAATAAAAAAACGGGAACAGATGCGAAAGAACAAATTTAGGAATTTAGGAACTTGATCGGGGCACGCGGAACCACCCACGAAACAGTGCAAGTGTTGGCTGTGGCAGGAAAACGTTGTGCTGCATTGGTCGAGTCAACTACCATTCGCAAATGGGCTTCTTAACAGAGCACCTCCTCTTATGGTCAACTTCGTAGACAAACATTTTCAATAGTACTTGAGTTTCTTCACTCTCGTCCTCAATAATACTTACATGATTTCGCCAAAATGTCTTCACTCCCATGATGAATTCATGATTTTTCTTAGTGTGAATTACTTCGCCCCCATCTTAAGTTGTGTCATCCCAGAACAAAATTTGTCATCCTGTTCATTCTGGAGGTCCGTTCTTCGACCTTTTAGTACAATTCATGACGCAGCAGCCGGGGTTGAGTCACACAAGAGCAACGCCACACAGGAGTTGTATTCTCCGCCGTCTTTCTTGCAGTGCTTGCGGTGATTTGTACCGCGAGAAGTATTCGGCCGTTCCTAACCCTCGTCGAACGTCAAGTCGAATTCCTGCGCACACACGAAACTATTGCTTTCCACCAACGTCATCTTGGGCATTTCGTGAGAAAAATTCCCAGTTCGTGTGACTGCCCAGAGATTCGAACCCACGTCCAAACGCCAGAGAGTTGCGGGATTGCCTGCTAAACCACACAGCCACTGATGTGTGGCCGCTTTCCCATCTTCAAAATTCACTTCCAGGTTCTAGATGTGGTGCCGGTAACGTAAAACTGTTCTGTGGTTCGCACCTTGTTTCCCGGGGCGCTGCCCAACACGAACCCGAAGTCGATGTGCACGATGTGGCCGTCCGAGTCGAGCATGACGTTGCCGTTGTGCCGGTCCTTGATGCGCAACAGGTACGACACCACCGAGTACCTGGCAAGATGGACGCGCCACCAGCAGTTCTTATAATAGTGTTTGTTTGTGGTGGTGATGGTGCGGTGGTGTTGTTTATTGTTGTTATCGATAGTGCTGCTTTTGGTCTTGGTTATGGTGGGAGTGTTCAGTGATATTCCTTTTTTTCTTCCAAGTCGCCGCTGCTGGTTCGAATGTGGTATCGCTATTGCCAACGGTGCACACAGCGAAACCAGCAGCTACATACCAACCCGTCGCGAAATAGTCTCTTTCGTCTTCACACACAAAACCACCCCGGCAATTCAAGGCAATTCAAGCAGCACCTCAGGTTTCCGTGCTGGTTTCGGCTTAGTTCGCACCGGCGGAGAGCAGCTGCCACCGCTCCAAACTGAACTCAACGACATGTGTAACCAGCAATACACAGCCTCAGCAGCAGCAAAAACAGGGAACCAACAAACACCAACAGCAACAGCGGCCGGCCCTTACCCGGCGAGAGAACAGGCGAATCTTCGCTGCGCGGCCTTGAAGCCGTCGCTGTCCTTCGGGCCGAACACGGCATAGAAGTGCTCCACCAGGGACCCTGGGTACCCTCCGCTCTTCTTGAGGCCGTCGAGAGAGGTGGCCTGGTTCAGCACCTGCGTTGTTTTGTTTCGGCACGAAGCGGTGAGTCCACGTTTTCGTGACAGCAGCGGATTCCGAGACACAAAATTGTTACGCACAGCGCAGCGTGTCACATGCCTGGCATCAACGCATGTGTTCCTGGGCACGGAAGGGCATGCCTGCGTCGTGGTAAGAATGTCTGGCTTGCACATTTGCCAACCGTCATCCTAGTCCACATATTCACACACGGCGTGCCATCACGTCCCGATGCGAAGGGACAGAGTACAAGAAGCGAGTGCCATGCGGTTATGCCAAATAATTGGGCAGACCCATCGGAGAAAATCCACACGAGCGACACGTCCGCCACAAACGCGTAGCCCACGTATCGAGACGCCACTTGTCAATCGAGACGCCAACACCGGTGCCAAGGTTGTCCCGCTACCCTAATGCGTACCTCAATCAGCCCCGTCGTCTTAGCGGTGGAGAGGATGCTGTACGGCTTAAGCCACAAGTCTAGCCCTTCCCTCTCGAAAACCTCCTTGTAGAAGATGATCAGCTGTGGGGGGGAGGTAAGAGGGGCCGTCAGGAAGGCCGTGAGGACAAACCATTATCATCTCGAATGGATCGTCTCTGATTGTATGTGTACTTTCTAAACCCTTTTACAAGGATAGGGATAACAAATTATACTTACATTTAAATGAATTTCTTCGTTTTGTGGGCGAAAACCTTTCAAAAATTTCCCTGTTTTTTTTTTGTTTTGGGGCAAGACCTTTCAACAACTGTATTTGTATTTTACGGTGGGGGGGGGGAGACACGTGGTGACCATAGGGCAATCAAGCATGCACGAGCGTAAATCGTAATCGTTGTTGCGAAAATGGGGAGGGCGATGGAAACGGCAAACGTTGGCTGGCGTTACACTCCTTTCAACGGGTCGGGATGCGTTAAACCATCACGGCAATCACGAACATTTCATCCTCCCACGGTGAAAATCCATTCGGAATCGCCGAAAGAACTCAACGACAAACCAGACGAAACCAAAAAAAAAAAAAAATTACCTGGATGATGAAGACTTATTGCTACTCCCACCGTGAAAACCCAGAAACACAAGAGCGGAAAACCAACAACCAAAAAATAAGGGATCGCCGAAACAGCTGAACGACAAACCCGACGAAAAACAAAACACTGCTGTACCTGCATGATGAAGACTTCTTGCCGAACATCATCGTTGCTCTTCATGATCAGTCGTTGCAGCTTCCAACCCGCCCGTGCCCCCTCCAGCGACTGCTTGCGGATGCGCCTGGCCTTCGCGGCCATGCTCTCCCCGTACGCCCTGCAAGGCTGCAGTACCCACGTGCACGTGACCCATCATCATCGATGCAGCCGTGAAGAACAGGAACCACAAACATTTCAATTTTGCGCATCACTCGTTTGGGAAGCTGTGGCGAGGCTGCCGCGATTTCTCCCCGTCGGCAGAGAGGTGTTGTTGTTGTTGTCATGCAATCACGCCTGACCAACAACCGCACCACGTGCTCACAAACACACACAAGTCTACCCACACTCTGGATTTCCCCACACCTGGCACTCTCCTCCCACCCCTCCCCTTCCTCACCGTCCTGACTGTCTCCTCGTCGTCTTCTCCTCGGTTCTCCGCCTCTCCCGTCGATCGCCCCTTGTCGTCACCGAGCGCCGCCGTCAACGTGACTTCCTCTAGCTCTAACTCCGGCGGCAGGCCGTTGCTGTCGCTCGCTTCGCGACTGCGCACGCTCGGCTCTTGCAGCGCCTGCGTATCGGAGAGACGACCGGGGTACGGCCGTGCAAGGCAAGGCAAGAAAATCAGCCAAAAAAAAAAATAGTGCTTCGTTCCGAATTTGATGACGTTGACAAGACAACGTACGAATTCCACGACAAAGAGACGTTGGTGAAAACTAGTGTATTTAATAGGGCACGCGTTCACATAACCGAACCCACGGATCACCGAACAAAAAAAAAAAAGGAGTGCAAAAGTCGGTGCGGACGTTTATACGGCAAGCGCGACGCACCTTATCTAACCCATCCTCGTCTACCGGTACCGCATCCCCCGCCGGCGTTCCTTCCCCCTCGGCAGCAGCAGCAGCAGCGCTAACCGCCCCTCCATTAGCCTGCGGGCCGGCTTCTCCCTTCTCTTCCCCATCCTCCTCCTGCTTTTCTTCGCCAGTGTAACCGGCCGGTAAGGATCCGATGCTCGGCGACACCAGCCTGCCGTCCGTAACGGTGGAGAGTTCTATCGCGTCGACCTCCTGCTCCTGCTGCGCGTGCAGCGGCGAATCCGAGCCGCATGGCAACCGAGCGGGGACAATAAGGAAAGGAGGTACGAGAGTGGGATCCACCGAACGGCAAAGATGAAGACAGGTGTGGTAAATGAGCAGGCAGATATGTCTGGAGGCGGGATTAGTTGTCGAGGCTCATCCCGGAACGGCTTGAGCACAAAACACACGCACACACGAACGGAAAACACCACCGAGCCGGCAGAGGGCAAAAAAAACAAGCCGACACGCTTCCGTACGTCCACCAACTATTCCAGCTCTGCTAAACAGGTACTGCACCGTTACCGGGACACCATAAACATGGAAGATGTGCTCCGATGCATCCGAATACGCAGTAGCCAGGACAGCGTAGGTTCGTATCTCATTCAGCTCTGGTCTGCGCCACGCTCGTAAAATGCTTCTGACAGACAAGCCACCTGAGCACTATGGCACGGTGTCCATGGTGGACGACCAAAGCTGACGTAGCTACCACCCCAACAGTCCCCCAAGGATTCGCCGAAGCGAACTTCGTAAGCAAATAACCTTGAACGTCTAGTTGACCTCAATTTCACCTCTTCTTATTTGGGCTGACTCCGAACGCATCCACAAACACCACCACCAACACGACCACCACCACCAAAAACAACAACAACCTTGACTGACCTTCTCCCTGAACTCCCTCTCAGCGTCTTCCCACGCCACGTTCTTGGGCTTCGCCCCCCCCGCCTTCCCGCCGCCACCAACACCAGCCCCCCCCTCGGACTCGCCGTCCTTCTCCTCCCCCCCCGTGGAAACCATCGTCGATCCCGGTGTGGTCCCCTTCTTGTTGATGCTCTGGCGTACGCCGGGAAGCTTGACGTGGCGGATGCTCGACGCGCGGGCGTGCAGCGCTGAGCCAAAGCTGGAACGAAAAAACATGCATTTAGGTCAGGAGGGGGGGTTGAATGCCGTTGTTGTTAGACCATTGACCACGCGTCCTCGAGAGGATGGAGTACTCTTCCCATAGGACCGACCGCCGATGGCAAGTCGTTCCTTCCTACTTGGTCAAACGCGGTTCAATAATGGTTTCCCCATATTCATATTTCACTTCTCGCCTGCTAATGCCACTTCTTTTCCCCCAGCATATCTATCCTCTTCTCCAGGGGAGGTGTTGACGAATTGTGGTGCCTCAACTATTAACGCACACAACGTCACAACCCGTGAGCTGGGCACGTTGGGAGCTTAACTCTTAACCCTCCTTTTACGTCCATTGCCCCAAACTCTTTAGGCGAGGCACTACTACGGGCCAGCGTCACGGTGAGGACTTGAGTGCTGCGGCCCATGGCGGCGCGAGCGAAATACAACATTCTACGCGTACAGTATCCCTACCTCTCCTGTGGTACTCTCACCGACTATTTCACCACGATTGGCCTATCCTAACGCGTACCAAGACCTCCTGAGACAACGCCAACACGCGCTCTCCAGCGAAGCACCGCGGAACCTCCCAGCCGAGGACAGACCCCCCCACCAACCAAGGATAATGACCAGCTCTCTGGTTCATCCTCGTGAAACGTAGCCTGCGCTGGCGAAAAAAACGGCACATCGCTCCGCCCCGGCCTTGTCGTGATGCGAGGTCAATCGTCTAACTTCTACCGCACCCACCTCCCCACCCCACCCCGGACCCTAACTCTAAGCTTAGGCGCCTACCTGCTAAGGTTATGCCGGAAGGGAGACTTCCCGCCTTTAAAGGTGTCCCCCTTGGAATCCCGCTTGGCCTCGGCTCCAGCAGGCTTTTCTCTCCAGACCGTGGAGAAGTGCCCGGGAAGGTGGACAGGTGGCATCTGGAACATCGTCGGATACGTCGTGCATACGTACCCACAGACAGACGGCGATAGACAGCGAGCGGAGCGAGTCGCCAACGCAAGGCATTGTCGTGAGTGACGGTGTCACGCTCGTTGTCCGCTTTATTCGACAGCAGCAGCACCATTTCAACGCCCCTTGCAAAGGTCGCCACAACTGGAAAAGGCGACAAGTGTCTGGATCCCATTTGGCAAACAAGTTGCCCGCCCTCTTGCCAAATAAAATGTCGGGTGATTCTCATTGGCACACCCACTTCCAGTACCAGCCGCAGGTTCCCGCCCCCGCCGGCTCAACCTGCAGGAAACACCCCCCTCTTCTTGCCCTTTCCACTCACCCAGCCGGTTCGGTGGCTGCAAGACCTGTGGGTCCACGAGGCAATGCCACACCGCCAAAGCCGATGGCTTGCTCTGTACCGAAGCATCATTTCGTAATCAGAATGACCCACCGTTACAGGCAAAAGAGTCTCCATTCTACGAGATCTACTTCACACAACACGAATCGAAATGCGCAGCTCTCACATGCAGCCCCTTGGAGTTAGACCGGAAACGGAAAGATCCGCTGCGCGAGTGTCGCCGTCCGGGCGTGGCTTGTGGTGTCTCGTCCCCGCCGCCGTAGCTTGCCTCGCTCACCTAGTGATAAGAAAAAAGAGGTAGTGATGTGAGTTGTTGTTGTCAATACAGAGACTGATGGGTCACTGGGAGCAAATTATCGGCATATATATAGTTCTCTCTCTCTCTTGCTCTTTGCCTGTCCGTCCGTCTGTCTTTGTGCGCCTGTCTGAATTTGTCTGTCTGCCTTTGTCTCTCTGTCTGCCTGTAACTCTCTGTCTGCCTGTCTTGTTCTGTCTGCCTCTCTCTCTCCCTCTGTCCATCTCTCCCCATCTGTTCTTCTCTCCCTCTGCCCTTCTCCCTCCCTCCCTCCCTATCTCTCTCTCTATCTCTCTCTCGCTCTCTCCCCCCCTCTCTG